GGGAGAAAATTAAGTGAAATCACAAATTCTTTATTTAAAAAGAAAAGTGACATAGTTAGTGAAACAAAAAATGAAAGTAGCAAAGTTAAGAGGAAGGGAATAGTGTTCGTGAAAGTGCCCCACTAGATTTTCTCTTAGATCCGCGAGTTGATAAGATATCTTATCTAGTCATGGACTCGGGCCGGTTTGGGCCCGGGCCGGGCTAAGGCCCGGTCGAGCCTCCGGTTTGTAAGTGATGGGCCCGGGACCGGCCCGAGGTAAGGACGGTTCCGGTTCGGGCCGGGCCACCCGCCATGCCGGGTCAGGCCGGGTAAATCCATTTTTTTACTTATTTATACTTTATTGTTTTATACAAGTATTAAAAACAAACTTCAATTGCATTTATTTGAAACTAAATATGAACTACATTTGACAATTGAGAAAAAAAATATAATATGAAATACATTTTGTAATCAATAGGAATTTCCCGGTCCTATGGCTTTGTCACATGACTTAATATGCTTCTTGGTCATCCCGTATCCGCGTGAAACCCCCTAGCTACACTTTTTCCCGCACCATTTGCAAGTTGCGTACCACATCCCTGTCCTCGGGTCCTTCTGCGTATAAATATTATACGCGATAACGGCATATTGACTTTCCATCTTAAAAATGGTAGATATAATAATTCTATAAATACTAGAATAGATGGAGATGAAGATGGAGATTGGAGATTGGATATTGGAGAAGATGTAAATAAAAATGTTAGAAAATAGAAGTATTTATAGAAATTTTTGTACCTACAACCCACCCCACCAACGGCTATATAGCCGTTTGGACCTTTGAGTTTGAAATGGAGAGGCTGACAGTGGGGTACTATGGAGAGCCTTTGATTTCAATTTTTTTTTGTTTATTTTAGTTTGAAATTTTTGAATAAATTACATAATGTAAAATTAATTCATTTGAGAAGTGCTACATATAAAAAAATGAACGTATATTTATTAGAATTTAGAAATATGAACTACAAGTTTACAAGTTACAATTGAGAATTGAAAGAAAAATTAAAACATGAAATACTAATCAATCGGAATCTCCGGCATAGGTAGAGTCACCATCGGTTTTTGATTCATCCATAAAGTGTTGGGATGGGGTGATGCCAATTTCTTGAGCTCTACGGACCGCCTTCAACCAATCATGGTAGCATATAAGCGTCTCAAGAGATTCTGCGCTCAACCTCGTTCTAGATTGCGTTAGGACATTGCCGACCGAACTAAATTCTTGTTCCACGGCAACTGTTGAAACTGGCATTGATAGCACTTGCTTAGTCATCTTTGCTAAAACCGAGAATATTCTTTCTTTTCCCTTCCACCAGTTTAGAACGTCAAAATCATCATCTTCTTCAAAATCAACATCATATGTTAAATATAAAGAAATCTCATTAATTGTGCTTTGTTGAGTAGGCGGAGTTGTTTTAGTTTTTTTAATAAGATTGGCAAATGTAGATTTCAAAATTGGTTTTCCTTTAGATGAAGATGTTTGTGTCAGGGGAGGGGGCGCGTTGCCATATTGTGCATGAAACTCATTAAATAATGCATAAAATATATCACTAACCTCGTTGTATTCTTTTTTCGGATCAATTGCGTTATCATCATACATTGGAAGATGACCAAAAAAGCGTCATAATAATAGTTCAAACATTCTTCTAAAGAACCAAGTCTAAAACGAGGATCGAGAACAAAAGCAATACCATAAACATGCGGAATATGTGCATAATATTTTAAAAACTTTTCCTTCATAAATTCAGCAAATAACTCACATTAGCGGCATTCTCAAATTACGCAAAAGCACCGGCGAGATTAACAGTTTCACGAATAAATTGGTTTGAGGTAAGTTTATAAACATGACTAAAAGTTTCAGTTGCATTAAAAAAATATACCAAAGCATTACAAATTTTTTCGCAAGTGTCGATATCAGCCGAGTTTATAATATAGTTATCATATTGTTTTAAAAAAGCAGGAAAATGTTCTTTATATCTAAGAAGAACTGTCATTAACTTATAAGTACTATTCCAACGAATAGGCAAATCTTTAAGAAAAGCCACATATTCACACTACCCCACATAGCCACATATCTTTCTATCAAATAATCATGTCATTTTTTCTAAGTTGACCACTACCCCAAATACGTCTAATCCCCCCTTTGACTACCTCCATAGAATCTCCTAACGCTTTTAGACCATCTTCCACACATAAATTTAGAACATGACATACACATCGTTGATGAAAAAATCTACCCATCAAAGAAGTAGCACCACACAATTCACGCAATCTAGGAATAGCAGCAGTATTATTAGTAGCATTATCAAAACCAATAGCAAACACCTTATCATTCAAATTATACTCAATAAAAATACGCTCAATCAAAATATAAATATGTTCAGTGGTGTGACGATCATTAAATTCACGAAAAGCAAGAACACGTTTATGCATATTCCAATTATTATCAATATAATGTGCAGTCAGACCCAAATAATGTAAATTATGATAAGTATCCTCCCATATGTCAGAACATACAGTAACAAGTCCATCAAAGTTTGCAAAATAATTTTGTAACCTTACCTTTTCCGCACTATAAAGCCTTAAAATTTCTTTCTTAACCGGTTTGTGACTATAACCTCTATATTGAGGATTTAAACAAGTTTGTGCATAATCTTTGAAAGTTATCCATATCAGTCAAATTTTGTGCATCATTGTATGAGAAATTACCAAAATGTTGTTGGTTTTTAGCAAATCTCAATATTTGAGTTTGTTTCCCCATTCCGCCGCCTAATTTTGCATACTCCACCGTGTGTTTGGCCTTAAGATGCCTTGCGGCGGATCCGTTTCCGCCGGAAATCCCCAAGCTATAATTTTTCTTGCACCACTTGCAAGTTGCGTTCCAATTCCCGGTGTTCGGGTCCTTCCACTTATCAAAATTATTAAGCATTAGTTCAGATTTACTTTTTTTCGTACCGGTTTGGGATTAGGCAGGCTCGTCGGCGTCGTGGCTGCCGCAACCCTCCTCCGCGTCGGCGTCGTGGCTCTCCGGAATTACTTCCTCCACATCATCAACCTCGAACTCTTCTTCGTCAATGGTCCTCGGCTGGTCTTGGAAAAACCGACTATTATGTCGGTGCAATTCTTATTCTAGTTGTTCGTCGGTCATCGCATCCTCATCCCTCCTTGTGTAACCTGTATCAAAATCATCTCGGCTTTGAGATGAAGAGCCGATATGTGATTTACCTTTGCGGGATCTCTTTCTCGCAAGCTCGTTCGTTCGGTTGCGGTCGATGTTACCCATATCAACCGAATATCTACCACATTCCATCTTAAAAATGTAACAAATACTACGAAATAAAATTCTAAGCTTAATTGAGTAATGAATTAACTAGTTTTTTGTACTAGTTATTTTATGTACTCCCTCCGTTCCTCAAAACTTTGTCATCTTTCTTTTTAGGGACGTCCCAAAAAACTTTGCCACTTTCCCTTTTAATCAATTATTTTGTGGTTTCTGTTATTTCTCTCTCCTCTGCACAAACCTCAACCACACAATTTTTACTTTATTATTCTCCGTGCCGGTCAACTTTGGCAAAATTTTAAAAGACGGAAGTAGTACTTAAATGTACTAACAATTCGAACTAAGTAGATATAAGTTGTAATATGTATGTATTTAGTGGATATAAGTAGATAATAAGTAGATAATAAGTAGATAATAAGTGGAGATTAAGTAGATAAGAAATATAAGTAATATAATATACTATCCTCCGTTCCATAAAAGTTGCAACAGTTTGACTTTCACGTTTGCCAACGCGCAACTTTGACTATAATTATATTTATTTACGTATTAGTAAACATTAAAAAAAGTTAATATATTGGAAATTTACACTAATACAAATTTATTACTCCGTAATATTTTATACATAATATTTTTATTATATATATTATTAGAAAATCGTAGTCAAAGTAAGGTGTGTGAATAGTGCAGAAATTCCAATGTTGCAACTTTTATGGAACGGAGGAAGTATGTATTTATAAATAGATAATTAATATATAACTATATAAGTAGATAAGAAATATAAGTAATATAATATATGTATGTATAAGTAGATAAGTAGATATATAATATATTGGAGAACAAGAGAATTTGAGAAATGAAGATAATTAGAGAGTACATATTAAGATTTGGAGAGTTGGAGAAGAGATGGAAAAATATTTAAGATTAGGAGTATGGATGGACTCGGGCCGGGTGGCCCGACCCGGAACCGGCCCGGGACCAGTACTGTTCCGGCCCAGCCCGACCCGGTGGCCCGGTCAATGACCGGTCCGGGTAGGCCCGGCCCGTGGGTTTTCCGGTCCGGGCTCGGGTCACCCAAAACAAGGCCGGGCCCAGACCCGGTTCGGGCCAAAAACTATTTTTTTTAATTTTTTTTTTTAAATTTCGGGTTGGGCTGGGTATTTTGGGCCATTTGGGGTGGTTTGGGGTGGGAGGGGGGTTAATTAGGAAGAGGGAAACAAAAAAAAATATAATGGGCCCGGCCCGGACCCGGTGGTTACCCGGGCCGGTCTCGAGTCCACCATTTCTGACCCGCCGGCCCGCCCGGGCCTAGGCCCGACCCAGACCCGGCCCGGACCCGAGTCCATCCATAATTAGGAGTATTTATAGTTTTTTTTACCCCACCCCCAAACTGCCCGACCCCCCCACCAGCCCACCCAACGGCTATATAGCCGTTTGGGTCATCCTGACCGTTGGCCTAACGACTCTTTTGGCACAAAAACAAATTAAAAAATATAACCGTTGTGACCGGGCCCTGCCCAGCCGGGTCACGTTTTGCCGGAACCAAGCCCGCCCCCCGGTTCGGGTCTACACCCAGTCCCGGACCACCAGATCGGGCCGTTTCCGGACTCGCACAGTAACGGACCACAGGCCGGGTGGCCCCAACCGAGTCCACCACTAATCTTATCACAACATGAAATCAAGTTTCAAAATTGACCCAGTGAAAAATTATTAGAATTTAGAACGACACTGTAATGAAACGAACTATCTTTTAAGTGTAATCCCAAAAAAACTTACAAAAAATTTCAAACCAAGAACACGAGTCCAAGTACCAATAAAAGGCTTATATAACTAATGAAAAATAACGCTCGCTATTCAAATCGGGACTTGGACATAAACAATTCAATAATTTATAATTCTTGAAATGCTTGCATAAAAAGACAGATTTCTAGAACTCGATTTATGACTTGGTGGAAGGTCTGACTCAAATTCACATACTGCTGACGTCAAAGTCAAAGCATGGATCTTCAGCTTTACGCACGGTTCCTAGAGGATGACCATGTTCCAGACCTTGATCCAGCACTAAAGGGTTTCCGGTCACGATCTTCCCGCCACCTATCAGAATGTCCCCGGCTATCGTCTAGCCTGTTGCCACCCCATCTATCAGTTTCAGCAGGAGGAGCCTGGGCAGCACCCTCAACCATCCTCTGCTTAAACTTGGGCACATACTTATTTGTAGGTGCTGGCACAGCTGCTGCTGCTGCAGGAGCAGTGGGTCCAACTTCTTGAGGACGGGCTAATGACTCAATAGGTCTAGCTGGAACAGCCACCGACTTCCCCAAGAGCTCTTCTTTCCGTTTCCTCTCCTTTTCTTCGAGCTCAAGCTCCCTTTGCCTCTGCTTTTCCGCCATCTCATCCAGTTTGGCCTTGCGCTCGGCTTCTTCTTTCTTACGCCTCTCTGTTTCTGTTAAGAGTCATATACACCCGCAGAGAAGTTGAGTCATTATTAAGAAAAATCTTTATACCGATCAAATATTTTACCAAGCAAGCCCCAAAAGTGAAGGATGTCCTCAAACTTGCCAAGTAAGGTGTGGGGAATTTGGTCACCGTATTTGCTTGTCCCCATTTTGGGTTAATGCAGGAGGGGGAGTCCCGCATATGATTTGATGGAGTGGTTAATTCGTGTATTTGATACAAGTATTGTTTTTGTTTTTATTAAAAAAATAAAAATATAGTACTACATGAATGGTGATAATAATGAGAACAAAAGATCTGTTTAATGAGAACTGAAGAGACACCACTTCACTTGCAGTTAGGAAGTAAAGCAGGTTAAGATTTGAATGCATCATAGTGAAGATCAGAGATTCAACAAAATACAGCTTGGACCACCCTAATTTTACTTTCACTCTTTTCAGGTTGTCAAAAGAAATACCTTCACACTTACGAGCTTCCTCTTCTTCGCGCAACTTATTCAGACGCTCCTCTTCAGATTTTAAAAAGAAAATCATCTTTCTCTTAGCCTCCCTCTCCTGCTTCCGTGCCTGAATAATCTGATTGATTCGTTCCTCCCTCTCCCTTCTCATTCTACTGTGTTCAGCCTCTCTATGACTGACAACTCTTGCTTGAAAAGTTTCCTAACCAAAATAGGCAAAGCTAATAAACAAATAGCCTCCACCACTAAGCAGCAAGGTTGTTAAATTCATATTTTAGAACGAATCAGTATAAGGATTTGAAAAACAAACGGAGAATCAAATGTAAAAATCTAAAATTTTATATAAAAAAATTAAAATATTTAATCAAAATCTACTGTTTTCAGCCTTTCTATGACTGACAACTCTTGCTTGAAAAGTTCCCTAACCAAAAATAGGCAAAGCTCATCATCATCATCATTACCCCAGTGCCGCAAAGGCTCCCACCTAAGGTGGGGTAAGGGGGGGTCGGATGTATGCAGTCTTACCCCTGTACTAAAAGCACAAAGAGACTGTTTCCGAATGACCCAAGTGAAAAAATAGGCAAAGCTAAAAACAAATAATAGCCTCCACTATACTCCAAAGTTGTTAAATTCGTATTTTTAGATCCAATCGGTATAAGGATTTAAAAATTGAATCGGAGAATCGAGTCATAAAAATCTGACATTTTTATACTAATTTTTATAATAATTAAATGAATTTTTAAAAAACATTTAACCAAAGGTAGTTCACCATATAACATTAATAAATCAAACCATTACAAGTTTAAGTCTTACAACAAGTCAACAACATCTTAAGTAAACTGCACAACATTATTAATAACAAAATAGTGTTACGTAACCAAATAATAAAAGTCACTCAATATTTATCTTTTTTATCAGACATGATCTTTTTATTTTTCTTATCTTTTTTCCTTTTGGCTCTGTTATCATGTATCGATTTGTGTTAGCCAACCCCAAAATCTTTTGGGACTACGGCTTGGATGTTCAGCTGTAACGCTTGTTAATGGGTTGACAAAATTGGACCGTGTTTGGTGATGCCAAGCACAAATGATTAGACTCGTTGACTAAAAAAATCCTGGTACGACTTTTATAGATTTTTATGGATTCCAGTTTTACATACGACTCAAAACAATGTTATGCCCTTGAATCGCAAAACTGTACGACTTAATGATCAAATGGCTATTTTAATAACCTTGATAAGCGGGAGTACAGAAGATATTTTAATCTTATAAGTTGGTAAATCATAACTAGATATCATTATAATAAGAACAGGATAGACACCTTGTTCACCATCATGCGACTCAGCCTCCTCTTTTCTAAAACATCACCTGTATGACGTTGCCGGCTAATTTCAACCTCTTGCTGCAAAGTGGAATGACACAAAAATGATGAGCTAAAAGAAATCCGTAAGCATCAGGTTAGGTATTGCATCATTAGATTCAATGGAACAAAATTCCATCCATCCTAATAACGACTTATGTTCCAAAAAACATGTGTTGTTCAAGTACCTTCCAAAAGTAGTAGCTTGACTAACCATATCATTTTAATTAGGAGAGGGGTAGTGGGTATAATTTCATATTACAGCTGGTTCTTATGCAGACCTGTTGTTCACGTTCATGAAGAGCAGCCTCTTCTTCCAACCGCTGTTGAAAAGCAGCTTGTATCAATGGTGCTGCTTCTTCTCTTTTAGCTCTCTCCAAATAATCCATAGTTTTGGCAAGCTTTTGCAGTTTTTTCTCCATCTCTTGTCTCTCCCTGAGTTGCTCGCTCAGAACATATTCCATCACAGTCTGTTTAGTTATGTTTTCCTACATACAAAAAGATAAACCTTTATAGATGCCGGGGTCTGGGGAAAGCATGGGGGAAAGTCCAGATGGTGAACATACTCCCTCTAGTATTGTTTTTTTCCCTTTCTTCTTAGTGCCTTTTTGAGATTCATCCAGTTTAGCTTGGGCCTCTTCCCTCTCTCTCTCTTGAATTTCCCTTAGAATTCTTTGATTCTTTCGCTCCTCAAACTCAGCAGCAAGCCTTCTCTGCTCAGCCTCTTCAGTGATTTTTTGTTGTTTTAGTCTTTTTGACTCTTCCTCACGTTCCTTCGAATTAATAACAAAACTATATTATATTATATGTAAAGATAATTGTGAATTTGCAATACACGAAAGTGAAGAGTAGAGAGATACCTTTTCCAATAGCAACCGCTCTTGATCTTCCTTGCGCTTCTCAATTATAGACTTCCGAGCAAGAAGTCTCTTGTGTTCCTTCTCAACTACTTCAGTCAAATCTGAAAGTGTCTCTCCATGTTTTGCAGCCTTTTCTGTTGGAGGATAGATCATTACACTTGCTTTCCTCAAAGATTCTACCAAAGCAGACAGGTGATCTCGAAGGCCTTCTGATTCAATACTCTAAATATATGAATAAAAGTCAAATGGCTTATTACATCATTAGTCCTCTTCAAAAAGGAAAAACAGGCAAACAGTAAACAAAAAATAAATACTCCCTCCGTCCCTTGAAGGTTTGCCAAGTTTGACCGGCACGTAGAATAATAAAGTAAAAACTGTGTGGTAGATATTTGTGCAGAGGAGAGAGAAATAACAGAAGCCATAAATTGATTGATTAAAAGGGAAAGTGGCAAAGTTTTTAGGACAACCAAAAAAGGAAAGTTGGCAAAGTTATAAGGGACGGAGGGAGTATCTCAGATTACAGCCTCCGAAAACATAACTGGCATACAATGTCACAAACTGACAATGAAACAGAGATTATTATTTATAGAAGAAGAAGATGTGAACCTGTTTGCCAAAGAATACAGCACTCTTCATGTGATCAATTTTAATGGCCACAAAGTTATGCTTAACAGCATCCACCGAAATCTTTTCAACAGCAGTGAAGTCAAAGAAAGGAATCATTCTAGATAAGTTGTCAATCTGTATTGTTTGATACACTTGAGACACCTGAAAATATGAGAAGGAAACGGAACAGTTCAATCTCTTAGAAACATCAATATACTACATGTCTAAGGTATGTGAGTTACAGAGGAGTGACAAACCTGCTGCAGCAATCTCAGAGTGACATTTTTCTCCAAAGATGGAACATATTGAGACAATTGCACCTCAGGAACAGAAGAAGCTGATGATAGTTTACCGCCAAGCTTTGAGATTTTGATCAATAAAGGTTGTGCTTTCAGTGCCAGATCCAAAGGAAGAAACTCATTCTCTAGAACATGGTAAAGATCTTTCACTTCTTGTGTAACACATGTCATTACACCTTTGGAAACCTACAGTAAACACCGAAAATTACCAGAAAATATAAAAACAACACTAAGGTAACAAAGTTACACACAATGAAAAGCAATGTGCCCTACAGGACCAATTATCAATGCAACATATGTAGTTAATGACACAGATTTCATGTTTTCAGCAAACTACCTGGTTTCTCATGTCAATAACACAATTGTTGAATAGCATACCATAATAATGATAAGAGTAAAAAACAATTGACCCATAAAACAACGAAAAGAAGTAGGCTTACCAATTCTGACAGAAGCGATGAACGGGAAAGCTGGAGAGAAAAAGACTACATCAGCAAATCCATATGGAACATACATATATGGATTAATGGATTAGATACACAAATAGAGATGAAAGCAAGCACTTGAAATTACCACTTCTCTGCTCTCAGCTTTTGGCTCAATATCAAATCCAATCAAATTAGCTAAACGGAAACTCCTCTCTTTCTCATTTTCAAGCTCCAAATGAGATGCACCATATGAATTGTCATAGGGTGGCACTGATAGTGCTGCTAAAACAACAGATGATGCTATCAACTGCAAATCTTTCTGGCTAAAGTTCTTGTTGAAACTTTTTTGTAGGGAGAAAAGCTTTAGCCATCCATAAGCATGATAGAGGTGATTGGATGAAATCCAAAATATCTCAGTAAGCTTAGCATAGTAAATAGCCAACAATGATGTTTTAGGGATTTTCTTAACAAGGCACATCAGTCCATAAATGTCTTCAATAGAGCGGAATGCTTCCTGCAAAATGGCAACAACATATGTAAATAATATAATAGCATGCACTGCAAATAAACTTGAACAGATATGCCAATAGAATCACACAAACCTGCCAAAGACCAAGCTCAGTGGCAACTTTTAGCTGCTCAAATCTTGTGTCCAAGTATAGCTGCAAACTTTCTGGAGCAGACAGATCGGGGCGGTCTCTCTGGTCTCTGTATTTGTTTAGATTTGCAAGATGGTTTCTAATGATCTCACATAAACGACGAAACTCAGTTGTTCGTTTGTACTGCTTGCAAAACTGGAAGGCCCGGTGTGCTGTCATCTATAACATAGTTGAAGAAACAATCAATACATCAGACACACACATGTTGAAGAAGAAGAGTGACAGTTAAACTCTAAAAGGGGAAAATGTTAGACTGGCTTACAGCGTACAAAGATTCAAGCCTAGAATTGTTTCGCAAGATTTCAAGCACAGTTCTATATGTTTCCCATAAAAATTTAAACCAAGGAGTGACTAGCTCACGATCCGATCGATCTTTCCCCTTCTCTCCACTCACATAACTCAACATCAAATCTTCAGGCCTCTTTTCTGCTTCCAAATCATCCACATCCAAAGCTTCCTCTAGAGCCTGTGCCTGAGTGCGTGCCAACTCAGCTCTCTCAGTGGCAAGATGCAAAAAATGTTTTATAACCTCTTCCAATGAGTTAATATTAACTTGCTGGCAGCAAATACGATACTGAATTAGACCATCTTTGGCAAATCTTCCTCTTCTCATGTCAACACACAGCTCCACATACTTGAACATTATTCTCTCATGTGACTTTTGCCATGCCCTGTACCTCCTTGAGGTGATGAGATCATGAAGAGACTGTAGGGCTTCTTGTTTTTGACCAACATTGATCAACTCTGCAACAACATAATACATCAAGTCAACGTATGAATTTTGATCATTCTTATAGAAATCTCGAATCACTAGTTCCCTAAATCAAAACAGGAAGAAAAATTTTATCATGTAGCAAAAACAATGAACTTTTATTTACTCTGATGAATTTACATCACTAACCTTCAGCTCGCTTTAAAGCATTCTCAGGCTTAGCAAAATTAGCCATTTTCAAAAACCTGCACGTAATATTATAATTCAATATAAACATAACATTGCAGAATTATAAATAGTTAACAATATAATATTATCATAATTATCCGTTCCAAATTTGTTCAGGATAAATGTAGTAAAAAGCAGAAAAGTCTACGATATTGCACATATTCCAAAATACTCTCTTTACTGACAAATCAGGATATGATATACCTTAACTCAGAAAGATGCAAGCTTTATATATTTTAAATACAAAAAAAAAGATCATGCACAGCCACAAACACACACATATGGAAAACTATAAATCTAATCTCTATGCATATAAAAGCTGGACCGCCAGGGAGAACTGTTCCCGCCTTACAATTATGGCGTCACTGTGACATCATCATGGATGATGTGACACGTGCTCACGGTTAATCTGCAAAATTTTGGCTCTCCTCCGTACGAAGGCAACACTGACGGCGTTAAAATAAGAAGATGGTTAGTAATAATCGGCTAACCTCAGGATACTAGACGAACGGCCGTGGTGTAGACTGCTTCCGACCTAGGGGAAGCGGAGATGGAAACTGCAAGCACAATATAGCGTACGACTGTCTGGGTGAGATAGAGCGCTGAAGAGATATACGGAGTAGATCGGATGAATTGGAAAGAAACAGTAATACAAGCGGAAGTAGGGTTCAGATTATTTGAGATCTTGGGCGAGTGAATTTCTAATTGGACCGGATCAAACAATGGGCCAATAACTTTAAATAGTTTCATTCTGCAGATTTTAAATTGTACCCAATATTACGTACGAGTATTTTTTTAATACTCCTTTAATAACATTGGAACCGGTTATATGGGTTGAATATAATGAGATAGATGAAATTCTAGTTGAATGAAAGAGAGACTTCACTAATTTGCTTATTTGCTTAAATATTATAGTTGAAATATTTTTTAATAATGTAAAGAAAAAAATATGAAAAATAGGAATAATGATCTTTTACACTAACTTAACTCAATTCAATCACAAAAGTAAGTTGCTTAAAACTCACTTATGTTGACTATTATATAATTCAAGGCATGGATTCGAAATTTATGTGTTTGATAAGCAAAAATGATTGACAGCTGAAAATATTAGTTACGAAATAGACTTTTTAATGGATTTAAGCCGCAAAGGGCCTCAAGGTTGCCGCCATCTCCTCATCTCCCACGTGTCACCTTCCCAACTTGCTATTGTCGATTAGTGTCACAGTCTCACCGACACTGCCTTTGAGTGGATCGCTGAAGGATTCTGGTGAAGATTGTTTTCGTCCAAGTGCTCCTTTGCTGGAGAATAATGACATTTGCTCTCGGGGATTTTTGGTAAGGGGGTGATTAACTGCTCTTATTTTATTGTTGTGTTTGTTCTATTCTCTGGTGATTCCTTCCCGGGCACTGACGCTCCGTGGTGTTTTGTCTTTCTCGATGTGGGAATTTGCTTTGGTATCCTTGTTGGTTCCGATCGTTCAGGGGTTCCTGTTTGTCTTCTTTTGGGAAACGTAGAAAATGGCAGAGAAAAAATAGTTGTTTTTTACTCCACATGTTTCTATGCTTGTCGGAAACGGAGAAAGAAGAAGAATTTTTAGTTTTCACTCATATTGGCGCAGCTCGTGCTCCTCTGGAATCACCTCTGTTTGTCTTCGTTTCAATATTATCTTTGCTTTAGAAGTACTTGTGTTTATTTTAGTTCGAGTAATTTTGGTTTGAATATTTGGATATTGGAATACTTTTGTTAGGCAGTGTTCGGTACTCATCATTTTAGGTTTAAAATTGCCCGTTTTGTGTCTATCAAGTCGGATTGCTTTGTATGAATTGAGTGACTCTAAATCTATTCCCAAGACTTACGATTGGATCTATAATAACTATTCAAAGGTTGTCTTGTATGCTATTTCGATATTAATATAAATAGTCACTCTTTTATGTTCAAAAAAAGATTTAATCTGCAAAGTTAACGTTACCGTTAGTAATAAACTTTAAAAACTAACAATGCATTGAAATTTTTAAAGAAAACTCTTATACTACCTTCTTCCCATTTTATGTGTCATTCTTTGGTTTGACAAAATTATTAATAAAATGGTTGAAAAAATAAAAGTTGTGGTTGATATATGAGTATAGGAAAGTGAAATGTTGTAGACCACATATTTTTCCCAAAAAGGAAAATGTGACACTTTTTTGGGACAACCCATAAATGAGTATTTTTTAGCCATATATATTATTTTATGTATACCATATTTTATTAATCTTGAATTTGAGTGTGTATTATATAATTCATCACTTTATTACATTAACTGGTGTTTTTATCAAAATATGGTGTATCATAGGTATTCATTTATTTGAAATAAAAAAGTTCTTTAATTGAATTTCAATGTTATTTCAAGGTTCTTAGATTGTTTGTGTTCGTGGTAGTTTTGATATGCCTACTTTCGTTATGATCAAATGTAATTGTCTCGAAACACCCATATGTTCAGCGAAAAGCTTCGCTCAGTTTTGGATAAACTTTTCAATGTTTGATCAGATACAAAGAGGATCTTTTGATTCTTATTGTAAATAATATTTTATGAATTAAGCTTGATTTTATTTCATTCCATAGATGTGTTTAAATACAAGTACGGTTTTGAGCATATCTTGGAGCCCTAGTTGTACAATGATAATATCTCTAAAATAAATGATTACGAAAATATATATTTTATTTAATAATGATTACAAAAATATATTCTTTCCTTAATACCCCCCCCCCCCCCCCCCGCCGCAAGTTCATGGAAAAAAGTCGACATGCAGCTTGGATTGAAGGGACTCAAATTTGCCATTTCCCACACCTTTCATAAATATGTCAGCAACTTGATTCAAAGCTCTAACATGACGAACAAGAAGTGAACCATTCGCAACCTGCTCCCGTACAAAATGATAATCGATCTTAATATGCTTCGACCGGTGATGGAAAACACGATTAGCGGCCATGTGAGTAGCACTCAAATTATCACATAATAGGATAGGTGGAATGTACAGAGGTGCGTGAATCTCCTTAATAGTTGTTGAATCCAAATTAACTCCGTAGAAGTAAAGGTAATAGCCCTATATTAGCTTCAAAACTGGACTTAAAAACAACATGTTTTTTGAAGCCCAACTGATGAGATTACTCCCATAATAAATTGTAAAACCATGTTGAGAATGATAGTCATCATGATCGGACGCCCATCCAGCATCAGAAAATTCCACAAAACGATTGTCAGTGCAGGGACGTAGGTAAAGGCCAACTGTAATTGTTCCCTTTAGATAACGTAAAAGCCGTTTGCCCGCTTGCCAGTGACTCTCAGTGGGAGTATGCATATATTGACAAACACGATTAACAACATATGAAATCTCAGGACGAGTGATAGTGACATACTATAAGCCATCAACGATACTCCTATATAATGCGGATCAACTAACGCATCACCAGACGAAGAAAGCCGAGAACCTGGTTCATCTGGCGAGATCATAGGGCGAGCATCATGCATCTTACATTTAGTAAGAAGCTCATAGATGAACTTATGTTGACAGAGAAAAATAGAAGATTTATTGCGGTTTAACTCAACACTAAGAAAATAGTGAAGATCCCCCAAGTCACGAAGAGCAAATGCAGCATTAAGGCGGGTAACAAAGGTATCAATCTTAGCAGGAATGGATCCAGTAATAACCACGTCATCAACATAAACAAGGACATAAAGAACATTACTATGTCGGCGACGAATAAATAAGATGGCGCGTCAAACTGACAAGTCACAAACTGAAGGCAAAGCGGAAACTGTCTGAGCTTGTGGAACCAAGCACGAGGGGTCTGCTTGAGCCCATTCAAAGCTTTTCGCTGAAGACAAACGTGATCGGGTGAGCATGATCAATGAAACCAAGTGGTTGAGCCATGTAGACCATCTCAGTGAGATCACCACTCAAAAAGGCATTAACAATATCAACTTATCTTAATCTCTGGTTATTGTTGAGAGCAAGATACAAAACAATATGGATAGTGATCGGTTAGACTACTGGACTGAAGGTGTCAGGGTAGTCAATACCTTCTTCCTGATTGAAGCCATTTGCCACCAATCGAGCTTTGTAGCGCTCAACCATGTCATTTGCTTTCTTCTTCACCCTGTACACCCACTTACAGTCAACAATGTTAGAATTACGAGGAGGCGGGATAACTTCCCAAGTGTCATTCCTCATAGGAGCATCATACTCGATCTGCATTGCATGTTACAATTCGGGAAACTTAGAAGCTTGAGAAAAGGTTTGAGGTTCTGAAGGTAGAGTGGTGGTTAATTGGAGGGGATGTTTGGTAGAGGTACAAGTTTTGGGTTTTAAAGAGTTGGTTTTTGAGCATGTGACCATTGGATGATTGGAGTTATCAATAGGACTAAAATGGGATGGAACAGATGAAGAAGAGATCATAACTGAGTGTAGGGAAGGATATTTTAGACGTGTAGGGAAGGATATTGGAGGGCTTGGTACAGTAGTGGACTGAAGGATGGGGTTGATTGGTAAGGAGGGTGTGGGCTGATGATTAGGCATCGTGTATGGCAGGTTTGGAGAAGGTGGTGGCGCTGATCGTGGGGCGAGTGGGGTTGCAAGAGCAGACATTGTTAGCATAAAGGAGGCAACCCGTAGAGGTTGGACAAGTTTGGTATAGCTACTGGGTGTGAGGGAGGAGTGGAGTTGGGAGGAGTCAATGTTCTAAAAATTGGGCTAGGCGGCCGCCTAGGCGCTAATCAGTCGGGTAACTTAGAGAATTCTATCAAATCGGCTTCAAAACCGAACATCCGACTTATCGGACGCGTAGAGCGCCTAGTCGGCCAACTCTGTAACTAATTGGCGATTTCAATAAGTCGGCCATAAGTTTTTACTTTTAAACATTCTGACGGTTTGCCCACCTCAATTTTGTCGGACTCTTTCGCTCCAAACCTCCAAAGGTGACTTTCTTCCCTTCTCGTCTTTTGTGAAGCCTCAAGTCTCAAGTCTCAATGAGACTAGCGATTCTCCCATCGATCAGCTCCTTTCAATCTTTCTGCCACCATCCATTTCTAGGTAATTATTCATCACTTAGAGTTCACTCTATTTGGTTTTGATCAAATTTCAGCTTTTTAAGAAAATTGGAAATATGGTTTGTTGTTTGCAATCTTGAAATATGATTAAACAATGTATTTATGTTTATGACTAAACATTTGGATGTCTATACATTAGAATGTGTGTAAATGGTTGATATAAAGTTTGAATTTAATGTAAGCAACTCAATGTGGGAACTTTTTAAGTTAATTGTTTTGATAATCATGTAATTTCCATGTGTATGTTTGTATTTTTAATTAGTTTTGAATGATTTTTACTTTGGAAATTACACACTTTTGGTGTAATAGTTTAGTTTGTTAAATTCTTGTAAATTGTTTAGATTAGGTTCATTCTGAGCTCAAACAAGTCTTGATCACTCAAAAGACAGGTGGTGACCCCCAAAAGTGGAAGAAAGGTGCATAATCTCAAGACAAAATAAGGATCCTGAAATTTTTGTCTATACCTGGTCGGGTATCATCTATACTCGATCGGGTATCTTGTTGAAACTTCAAATCGGATCGGATCCGAAGACAAAGGAACATGCAGGGAAGATTTTGACCACGATCGAGTGTCTATACCCGATCGGGTAGACCGACATACCCGATCGGGTATGCCTTTG